GCTGAGGAAGACTGGCCCTGGGCTAACATCTGTGCCCATCTTCCTCCACTTTATATGGGACGCCGCCACAGCATGGCCTGACAAGCGGTGCATCGGTGCGTGCCCAGGATCCCAACGCAGGCCACCAGCAGCAGAGCGCGCACACTTAATTGCTACGCCACGGGGCCGGCCAGCAACTTGTTCCTTTTCTGTTTGTTCTTCTTTTCTCTTCTCTCTCCTGCCTATATTCACAAACATTTGCTTAAAAGCCACTATCATCCAAGCAGTGACACAAAATTATGAGCTTCCTCAGTGCCTTTATGTCATGTGGAGCAGAGCACTGTGCTCTTTTCGACAGGGTATGAATCTTGACAATTCAATCAGTGCCTGCTGCCTGCACTTCCCTGAGATGGGGGGTCTGGATTGACAGGTCTTGTTGCTATTACTGGGTCTAAGCAGTGCCCCAGGGGTCTCGGGCAGGAGAGAGAAAAGACAAGGGAAACACACAAGTGTTTCCAAGGAAAGGACCAAGTGGGAAGGCAGGTGAAGAAGTTGACAGAAGGGGAAACACAGTGGGTGCACGTTATAAAGCTGGACAGGTCCCAGCAATAGCTGCTGCTCTAAGCAGCACCTGTACCTCAGTTAGCTAAATGGTAATGGGCAGGACCCTGACTGCTTTACTGAGTTATCGCAGGGGGACAGTACTTTGAGGCTCAAGGCGGCCCAAGCAATAGCACCCCTCTTTGCTGCCCAAGTTCTGAATGAATTAAAAGACAGTTAACAGAGTAAGAGAGATGAAAAGTCAAAATATCACCTCTATTACTCATAAATCCAAAGTCAGAGGATATAGCTTATAGAAGGAGACAAATGGGCCTTCTAAAAGTGCATTCCAGAATTAGAGATACTTACTACTCACCCAGTTCTAAGGAGTGCTGGAAAACTGCAGCACTTTCCACCCCATGGCGGGGGATATAGCTCTAAAATCTACAACAAGGAAGGCAGAAACGAATGTGCACTCGCTCCCAAGACATAGAAGAGGGGTGAGCTGAGCTATGCATGCCAAAACTCACCAGTAAGTAAGTTTACTCCAAACTCAGCAATAAGTCAGTAAGATCTGCCCAGAAGTGAGTGAGGGGTAGAGAGAGGGCCAGGAGTGTTTCAGTGTTATAGCTTCCTCCACGTGGAAGGAAATCAAGAGGGGAAAGAAGCCTTCCCTCCTCTCCCCTCACAAGTGTCTTTGTATGCTATTGTGAAACATTACCTTCTGTTGCCTGCATGGTTTGTATTCTGCTAAAGCCAAGTACGTGTTTCTTTTAGGTGTTAACCGAAGAGGAAAGAGCCCTGTCTAGAGAGGCCTTGAGAAACATCTTGGATCAAATATATCAACCATTAGCAGTCCGAGAATTACTTATCCTCCAGGGAGGACCACCCCAGGTATTCAGGACTGGGGACTCTGGTGGGTGAATCATTCATTAATGATGATGTGTGGTGTGCTGCCTTCTTCTCCTGGGAAATTCGATAATCTAGTTAAATCTTATTTCATCTTTTAGATCATTAAATGGTATTTTTAAAACTGAGTTGGGGCCAGCCCCATGGCTTAGTGGTTAAGTGCGCACGCTCTGCTACTGGCGGGCTGGGTTCAGATCCTGGGCACGCACCTACGCACCACTTGTCCGGCCATGCTGAGGCCGCGTGCCACATACAGCAACTAGAAGGATGTGCAACTATGACATACAACTATCTACTGGGGCATTGGGGAGAAAAAGGGGGGAAGAAAAGGAGGAGGATTGGCAATAGATGTTAGCTCAGGGCCGGTCTTCCTCAGCAAAAAGAGGAGGATTGGCATGGATGTTAGCTCATGGCTGATCTTCCTCACAAAAAAAAAACAAAACAAAAAACTGAGTTACTCTGACCCTTAGGGTAATTTAAAAGGCTTTTTCTTTTAATGGAATGATGGACACTTTTCCCAAGAATATGGCAGTTTTATTTAAAATATATTTTATTTATTCTGAAACTGGATCTTTTTTTTCTTTAAAATTTGGCTGTTTGACAATACATTCCTTTGGCAGCAATATGTGGACATCTTATTCTTTGAATGGAGTATTTGAAGTCAAGAAATTAAAATTAGAACTATTATTGGGACTATTCTTAGCTCCTTTGGAAAAACATAATAGTATGTATTTTACTGGGCATAAGATAGTTTCTTTTTTGTGTGTGAGGAAGATCAGCCCTGAGCTAACATCCATGCCAATCCTCCTCTTTTTGCTGAGGAAGACTGGCCCTGGACTAACATCTGTGCCCATCTTCCTCCACTTTATATGGGACGCTGCCACAGCATGGCCTGACAAGTAGTGCTTTGGTGCGCGCCCAGGATCCCAACCCGGGCCGCCAGCAGCAGAGCGCGTGCACTTAACCGCTACACCACCAGGCTGGCCCCAAGATAGTTTCTTTTTTTCCTTAAAAATAATTAGTTACCTGAAATGATTTAATTTGATGCTGTAGATGGAATTATCTTTTTGCTTTTAGTACCTAAATTTTAGTAATGAATCTAGGTGAGTAAAGTGTGAAGGGCCAAAGGAACTGGCTGTAGGTCAGGAAAAGGACCAGCTGAAGCTGCCTGCAAAGATACCTCCTAGTTGAAGTCATTTTCATCTTGTCCTCAGAATATTACTATAGCTTCCCATTAGGGCCCTCTGGCTTCACACTCTGCTTCTCTGAATGAGTCCGCAGCTTGCCAGATGAAACCAAATGCGTCATAATGATGAGAATGTGGTGAAAAGCAGAGGCTCTGGAGTTAGGCATACCAGGATTCAACCCCCACGTGCAGTGGTGTGAATCAGTAAACCTTTCCATCCCTTAGTTTCCTTGCCCATAAGATGGGAATAATAACAGTGCTCTCCCTGTAATTCCCTTTTGAGGTTATGTGGAAGGTACTTAGCGCAGTGCTGGGCACGCCATAACCCGCTCAATAAATGGTAATTATTCATCTTCTTTAAATAAAAGAGAGAGGATAGGCTAGTTAGGACGAAGTGTTTCTGTCACTAATTTTTATGCTTATTTAACTATGCCTTTATGTGTAGTCAAATACAGTGATTGACAGCAACATAGTTTGCATTCTAGACCCAAAATAAGGGACACCAAGTCTGTTTTGTTAATGGTGGCTCCACAGAGCTCTCAGAAAGGAGTCCTTGAAGAAATCTAACCCTTCTTGAAACTGCTGTGTCACAAGGCATCGGAGTAGCTAAGACCATGGAGGCAGGGCTGGAGTGCCCTCTCACTGTTGTGAACTATCCTAGAGGGGAGTAATGTTCCCTCTAGGATAGCAAGATTTGATTGGAAGGACTGCATTCAGAGATTGGTTACGTTAACTTTGTCTTCCCCAAATCTATATTTTATTCACTGATGTGTTTGTCTATTTCTGGGTTTGAAAATTCACTTGAAGTTTTACTGTATTTCTACATTCTTAAGAAATGTTGAAGACGGGTTTGTAAAGGAGTCTTTTTTTTTTGGAAAAAAGTTGCTCTTCTAAAGTCTGTGTAGCATACTGTTAATTGTAAATATGACTCAGTGTATATATATATATATATTTTAATAATTTCTACATATCCTGTCTATTTCACTGACATTCAATTCATACCTTTCCCTTCCTTTTTTAGTCCTGCACAGATGTGAAGACACAAGTTAGGTGTCGAGCCCCAGCTTGGCTTCGGCGTCTATGTGGGCAGCTGCTCTCCGAAAGGTTGATTAGACCCAGTGGTGTTCAGGCAGTAGTCCGGGGCATTTTGGAAGGAGCAGGTGGTAAGAAATAAGATGTTTCTGCTACTTTGGTATCCATTTCCCTTCGAGTAAGAGTGAATTATTGATCTTGAGCATTTGTCTTTAAAACCTGATTGAGACTAGACTGTGCCTTTGTGGAGATTGAGGAGGTTAGACTTCGAGGTTAAACCTTACAGATTCTTTTCCAGAGAAATTCATTTTCTTACCATTTTTCTGAAACAGTTGTAGTATACTGCTGACATTGAATAATATTGTCAGCTGTTTCAAATAATTTATAATATCAGAGGAAAACATTGCACAGAAAGTTTAAGTAAAACTCTAAAGAAAATGTGAAATTCTCTGTGGAAAAGAGCTTTGTACCAGAGTGCTAAGAGTACTTCACCTCAGGACTTAAAATACAGAATAGTTCTTGAAGCTGGAGACACCTTAGAGATGCAGACTTTGCGATGAAGTTTTAGATTCATTTCCCCAATTATGTTCTCTAAGTCCTCATTAATAGAAAAAAGTTAATTATTATGCTGAGCATGGTATTAGTTTTTAATTTATATTTTCTAATTTTTAAAATAAAATTATACATGCACATAGTTTAAAGAGTCAAGTAGGTCTATAAGGCTTATAGAGAAAAGTAGCAGTCCTTTCGCCATTCCACTGCATTTCCCATCCCCAGAAGCAACCACTTTGAACTCTTTTAGTGGGTTTCTTCTAGTATTCACCTCTATATTTCTACTATAATGCATATACAGCATCTTCGTAATTTTTCTGTTTGAGACATCATCTATCAACACCTCACCATGTATGAAACAGGATGTTGTTCTCTTTCAAAACCCTGCCATCATTCCCCCAAGTATACTTCCCATCTCCTTAATACTAATAGCTTAATTTTGGTTAGATCAATATTCAGTGTTTATATTCTTCTGACTATGTAATTATTATTTACAGTTGAGCTGTGTAGTATACTATAACTACTTTTCTTTTTTTATACAACTTTTGTACTTCTTAGAATTAACAACTGTCTGTTTTGTTTGTCTGCTTAGTTTTTTATGTGCTTATCACTAATCTATTCTCAAATTCTCCCCTAGTTGTTTAAGTCTCCTTTTAATACATTAAGAGACACCAGATAATCTATCTGTTTTGTCTTCTTGGAGACTCCCCTCTCTGAGTCTTCTCTGTCTGGACTAGTTACCTTCCACAGGGCTCTCATCCAGGATCTCCCTTCACCTTTTTCCCGTCATGCTTTGCCTCTCTTTTGTGTTCAGTCCCTTATCTCCTGTATCCCTTGCACATTAGTTTCCTTTTGCTGCTGTAACAGAATTACCACAACATTAGTGGCTTTTTGATGGAGATGACATTTAAACTGAGCCCTAAAGGCTGAATAGGAATTTACTAGTTGAAGAGTGAGAGAAGACTATTATAGTCAGAGAGACTAGCACGTATGAAGGAACTGACATAGGTAAGAGCATAGTGTTTTTGAGGAAATTTCAGTATGAGTAGAGCAGTGAGGGCAGAAAGTGGTGTGAAATGAGGGTGGCGGCATGGGGAGGGGCCACGTCATGAGGCCTGTAGGCCTAGTTCAGGCTTTCAAACTTTATTCTGAGGGCAGTGAGAAACCATTGGAAGGTTTTAAGGAGAGAGAGATGATCAAATCTACATTTTAGAAATATCTATCTGGATGTATTGTGAAGAATGGGCAGTCGTCTGAAAGGTCCTGGTGGCTTGGGACCTCTCAGACATGCTGTGGCAGTGGAAACAGAGAGAAATGAATGCATATGAGAGGTATTTAAGGGGTAGAGTTGCCAGAACTTAATGAAGGGCTGGCTATGTGGGGAAAGAAGAGGAGAGAGAGAAGAATCAATCATTTTTTTTTTTTTTTTGGTGAGGAAGATTAGCCCTGAGCTAACATCCATGCTAATCCTCCTCTTTTTGCTGAGGAAGACTGTCTCTGAGCTAACATCTATTGCCATTCCTCCTCCTTTTTTTCCCCCAAAGCCCCAGTAGATAGTTGTATGTCATGGTTGCACATCCTTCTAGTTGCTGTATGTGGGATGCGGCCTCAGCATGGCCGGAGAAGCGGTGCATCAGTGCACGCCCGGGATCCGAACCCAGGCTGCCAGTAGCAGAGCGCGCGCACTTAACCGCTAAGCCACGGGGCCGGCCCAGAAGAATCAATCTTGACTTTCCATTTCTGGTGTGGTAAATGTACGTTGGCCCTGTCAGACAAAGGTGAGGTCAACGTGGTTGGCAGACATTGATATATATGGTCTAAAGTTGCTGTAGGGGCCGGCCCCATGGCTTAGCGGTTAAGTGCGCGCACTCCGCTGCTGGCGGCCCGGGTTCGGATCCTGGGCGGGCGCCGACGCACCGCTTCTCCGGCCATGCTGAGGCCGTGTCCCACATACATCAACTGGAGGGATGTGCAGCTGTGACATACACCTATCTACTGGGGCTTTGGGGGGAAAAAAAAATAAATAAATAAAATCTTTTAAAAAAAAAAATTTAAAAAAAAAGTCACTGTAATGTTGCCTCCCCAGTTCTGCCTGCAGCGGCTACGAGGGCCAATGAAATGAAAAATTATCAGTTACCTGTGAGAAGTTGTCACATGCAAATAGGTCCTTGCATCTTCTTTTTCCAAAGAAGAGTTAGACTTCACCCAAGGGAATGCAAATTGGAGAGCTGCTATGAGAAACTTAGAACCCTATTTTTGCTATCAGCTTTTTTCTCCCTACTTATGCATGTATATATTTTTTTGTTATCTATTCAAATCTTGTTTATTCTCAAAAATGATTTGAGGCCGTTTATTTATATTTACTCATGTAGGGCTGGCCCCGTGGCTTAGCGGTTAAGTGCGCGCGCTCCGCTGCTGGCGGACCGGGTTCGGATCCCTGGTGCGCACCACCGCACCGCTTCTCCAGCCATGCTGAGGCAGCGTCCCACAAATGGCAGCTAGAGGGATGTGCAGCTATGACATACAACTATCTACTGGGGCTTTGGGGGAAAAATAAATAAATAAATAAAATTATATTTACTCATGTATTTGCCATTTCTGGTGTCTGTAATTTCTTTGTGTGAATCCAGATTTTAATTCAAATTTCCTTTTGCCTGAAGAACTTTAACATTTCTTGTAGTGCAGGTCTGTAGGCAATGAATTCTCTTAGCTTTTATTTGTCTGAAAAAGTCTTTATTTCACCTTCCTTTTTGAAAATATTTCTGCTGTCATTTTTGTCTTTGTTCCTCTGTACATGATATATTTTTTTCTGGCTACTTTTAAGATTTTTCTTGTTATGACTGGTTTTGAGAAATTTGATTATGATATACCTTGGTGTGGGTGGTTTTTTTCATGTTGCTTCTGCTTAACGTTTCTTGAGCTTCTTGGAGCTAAGGGTTTATAGTTTTCATCATATTTGGAAATTTGTCAGACATTATCTTCAAATATTTTTTTCTGTCCTCTCTTCTCCTCTCTCTCTGGAGTTTGAATTACACCTAATATTATGCTTAATGTCGTTCTACAAGTTCCTGATGCTCTGTTTATTATTTTTTTCAGTCCTTTTCTCTGTTTCGTTTTGAATAATTTCTATTGCTACGTGTTTAAATTCACTGATCTTTTCTTCTGCAGTCTAATCTGTTAATCCCATCCAGTGTATTTTTCATTTCAGATGTTTTCTTTTTCATTAGTAGAGGTTCAGTTTGGGTCTTTTTTATATCTTCCATTTCTTTCCTCATCATGATCATTTTTCCCTTTACCTTTTTGAAAATAGGGAATAAATTTATAATAGCTGTTTTAATGTCCTTGTCTCCTAATTGTGTCATCTCTGTTTTTATGAGTCTGTTTCTGTTGATTTTTGCTCCAGATTATGGATCATATTGTGTTGCTTCTTTCCATGCCTGGTAATTTTTTTTATTGAGATGTTATTTATATACCATAAAATTCACTCTTTTAAAGAGTGCAGTTCAGTGGTTTTTAGTATTGCCACAAAGTTGTGCAACCATCACCAATATCTAATTCCAAAACATTTTCATCATCACGCCCCAAAAAAACCCTCATACCCATGAACAGTGACTCCCCTTCTCCCCTCCTTCAACCCCCTGTAAGCACTCGTCTACTTTCTGTCTCAGTGGATTTGCCTATTCTGGATATTTCATCCAAATGGAATCATATAACGTGTGGTCTTTTGTGTTTGCCTTCTTTCACTTAGCATAAAGTTTTTGAGGTTTATCCATGTTGTAGCATGAATCAATCCTTATTCCTTTTTGTGACTGAATAATATTTCGTTGTATGCATACGCCTGGTAGTTTTTGAATGGATACTGAACATTCTTTTACATTGTTGAGTGCTAGATTTTTTTTTTTTTTTTGTGAGGAAGATCAGCCTTGAGCTAACATCTGTGCCAGTCCTCCTCCACTTTATATAGGATGCCACCACAGCGTGGCCTGACAGGTGGTGCATCAGTGCGCACCCGGGATCTGAACCCGCGCCACCAGCAGCGGAGCATGCGCACTTAACCACTACACCACAGGGCCGGCTCCAGGTGCTAGATTTTGTTGTATTCCTTTGTTAGACTTTGTTCTGGCGTGCAGTTATTTTTCTTGGAATCAGTTTGATCTCTTTGATCCTGGCTTTTAAGCCTTGTTACTGTGGGTCTAGAGCAGCCTTTAATCTAAGGTAATTTGACCCCACTACTAAGGCAATACCCTTCTGAGGTTTTACTTGATGCTCTGTGTATTAGGAGGCCTTTCCGTGCTCACTAGTGGGATACAAACTGTTCCCAGCCCTGTGTAAACTCTGGGGATTGTTCCCCCTACTCCTTTCTGGTTGTTCTTGCTCCAGCCTTGGGTTTTTTTCCTCACACACGTACACAGATTTTACTCCACCAAAAGCTTGAGAGAGGATGCCTCTGCAGATCTTTGGAGCTCTCTCTTTGTGTATCTTCCTCCTCTCTGATATTTTGCCCTGAAAATTCTAGCTGCCTTGGCCTCTCTGAACTCTGAAATATGTTTCTTTAACTCAACAAGGTGCCAGGCTTCATTTGGGCTCCCCTTTGCTGTGTGTGCTATGGCCTCAAATCTCTCTCTAGGTAGTAGGCCAGGCTATTCCTGGGGCTCACCGTGTTTGCTTCCCTTCTCTCAGGGGTCAGTGTCCGGGCTGCCTGTTGTCCAGTGTCTGAAAACCATTGTTAATATATTTTGTCCAGTTTTCTAATCATTTAAGGTGGTAAAGTAAATCTGGTCCCTGTTACTCCATAGCTGTGGTTTAAGGCAGTTTAAATGGCATGATTCATATAAAGAGACAATAATAATAATAATAATAAAAAGTAATAAACACTGAGAAGAAGCTAATATTCAAGTCATATGAATAATATCATTATAATGGTTAAGTGCTACTTTTTTCTCTGAACTTCCCAGAAACCAACATCGAAAGGAAAGTGCAGAGGGGTAGATTATCTTGTAGAAGAAATAAACAATTTTCAGTAGACAAAAAAACACTTTTTGCCCTGTATTTTAAGAACCTTATATGGGGAACTGGTATGAGTTTTTGACATCTCTTTCCATTGCTGACAGCTGGGGCGGCTGGCGGGAGTGATGCTGAGGCCACAGCTGCTGACTGGAAGAAGTGTGACTTGACTGCAAAGATTTTGGCCTCTTGTCCCCAGCAGTCTCTTTCACCAGAGGATTACTATAGGGATATCTGCCCCCAGGTAAATAATTTTGTTTCTTTTGACCGTTTGAAGATTATCTGCTTATTTATAGAAAGAGGACTTTTAATGTTCCTCTGATGTTGAGGTAAAAGCAATATAATACCTAAGTTTATTGTTCAGTGAGGGGCTTCTTAATAAGCAAATAAAAACCTGTGGAAGACACCAACCTCATTGTTAGGTTTAAGAACACCTCACCATTAATAAATGACTAGCCAGCCTAGCTTGCTCTCAAGAGCTGGAATATGAAAGTAAAGTTTCATCTTGTTCATTATCTTCTCTGTGTGTTTTTAATTAGTTTTTTAAAAAATGGGCATTAAATAAACAAGGTAAATTCACATGGTACACAATTTAAAAGCACAAAAGTGTAAACAGAGAAGTAAGACTCCTACCCTCTCTGTTCCCTAGTCCCTCAGAAGTAGTCACTGTTACCAATTTCTTGTTTATTTTCGAGGGATATTCTGTGTCTTATGTATATACATTTATATGTGTATGTATGTGTGTATACATTCTAATTTTTATCCAAGTGATAACATGCTACACACGCTGTTTTTCATTTTGCTTTTTTAACTTAATGTATCTGGGAGATCATTTCATATTGCGCTGCTTCATTCTTTTTCACAGGTACATAGTATTTCATCATATTAATGTACCATAATTTATTTAACCAGCCTCCTATTAATGGACATTTGAGTTGTTTTCATTCTTTTGCTGTTGCAAACCATGCTATAGTTAATATTCATAAATCCTGGGCTGGCCCCATGGCTTAGCAGTTAAGTGCGCGTGCTCTGCTGCTGGCAGCCCGGGTTCAGATCCCGGGCGCGCACGGACACACCGCTTCTCCCGCCATGCTGAGGCCGCGTCCCACATACAGCAACTAGAAGGATGTGCAACTGTGACATACAACTATCTACTGGGGCTTTGGGGGGAAAAAACAAAAGGAGGAGGATTGGCAATAGATGTTAGCTCAGAGCCGGTCTTCCTCAGCAAAAAGAGGAGAATTAGCACGGATGTTAGCTTGGGGCTGATCTTCCTCACAAAAAAAATAAAAAAATAAAGAAATAAAATAAATCTTGTACATGTGCAAATATTACTCTAGAAAAAATTCCTGAAATTAAGATTACTCGTTCAAAGGGTATATGCCTTTAAATTTTTGGTTGATATTGTTTATATATTTGTTTTACCATAGCTTTGCCTATACAATGTGTTACAAAACTTTTCTGTCTTTCCTAATTTGATAGGTGAAAAACGTGGAAGGAATTTTCTTAATCAGTACTCCACATGTATTTAGATGTAAGACATGCCTTTTGGAGGACAGTCCGAAGAAGATCATTCAGTTGTTACACTGATCTTCAGGGTTCTCATGGGTAGGCACGCATGAGAACAAAATATCAATGCAAAGGTCTTTTTTTTTTTTTTTTTTGTGAGGAAGATTAGCCCTGAGCTAACATCCATGCTAATCCTCCTCTTTTTGCTGAGGAAGACCGGCTCTGAGCTAACATCTATTGCCAATCCTCCTCCCTTTTTTTTTCCCCAAAGCCCCAGTAGATAGTTGTATGGCATAGTTGCACATCCTTCTAGTTGCTGTATGTGGGACGCGGCCTCAGCATGGCCGGACAAGCAGTGCGTCGGTGCGCACCTGGGATCCAAACCCGGGCTGCCAGCAGCGGAGCGCATGCACTTAACTGCTAAGCCATGGGGCCAGCCCGCAATGGTCTTATATTGAAAAATACTAAATATAAATCATCTTATAGGGCAAAGTTAGCATTTGCAATGATGAGTAAATATTTTCTGAAACTAGTAGCTATAGTTTTGTTACTTGACAAAATGAGAAAATCAAGTCACGGGTTTCAGGTTTGCTGAGTCTCTCTCTGGCAGTGTCAAAGGTCACATACAGTTTTTGGACTGAAGATTTGACTATCTGTAAAAAGTACAAGAGTCACTTTTAAGTCAGGAACAGAAATGCTCTTTACTATCAGTTGCTTATTCTGGGGTAAACCCACTCATAGGCACTGGAGATCTGTGTTTTTCTTTGAGAATAAAATAGAGTTCTGTCTGGGACATTTCAGACATGACAGGCTCTTCAGATCCTAAATATATTTATCTGCCTGGACCCACTAATTTCATTTGGCGGTGCTATTTATAATAGCAAAATTTTGAGAAAAAAAGTAAAGGTCTGAATATTAGGGAATACTTTAAAAAATTCTTGCATACATCTTGAATATAATATTTTTGAGGAATTTATAACAATATGAGAAGATTTTAGCCATACACAAAACTGAGTATTAAGGGTGGTCTCAATGAAAAAGAAAAAAGAAGTATATGGAAATAAATTGGAAAAAAATACACCAAAAATGTTTATAGTGATTTTGGAAGATTTACTTTTCTTCTTAAAACTTTATTTTCCATATTTTTTGCAATGAGCATATGTTTTATAAATTTGATAAAATTAATAAAAACATAGCCTGAATCTTCAGTTCTCACTTTGATACTGGGTTCTTAGATTAAAAAACAAAAATTCTGTTGAATTGGTGTTATTGCAGTGAGTTTATTTTTTGGCTTAAAGAAATTAGTGATTTCCCTTAGCTAATATATTGCTCCTTGCAAAGAGCCTGGTATTTGCTTCATGTAAATTTTTTCTTTTAGATTCTGGATTTATTTCACTTTCAAGATAAATTGACAGCACGACAATTTCAGCGAGTTGCTACCACTACCTTTATAACTATGTCAAGAGAACACCCACAATTGGCAGCAAAGTATTTGCTTCAGCCAATGTTAGCTCCTCTTCATCGATGTTTAAATACAGCAGGTAAAGGAGGAAGTCTCGTGGTTGGGTGTCCCTCTAAAGGACCTTCTTCAATGGTTCAGATTGAAATGACTTAAGTCTGTGGTATTTCAGTGTCTTTAGTTTTACTTTTCTCTCCCCCAACTTTTTATTTTAAAAAATTCTCTTCACAAAAGTTCTAAGAAGAGAATGTTGAACCACCTCTATACACCTCACCTGGAGTGACCAACTCTTAACATTTGAGCCATGTTTATCTTTCTCTCTTTCTATACATGTACATTTTTTTCTGAAGCATTTGAGGGTTAGTTGCCAATGTCATTTAATATACAGACTTTATTCAGATTTCTCTAATTGTCCAAGAACTTTCTTTATAGCTATTTTTTTAAAATCCGGAATCCAGTCAAGAGTCCTGCATTGCATTTACTTGTTATGTCTTTTCAGTTTCCTTTACTGTAGAATAGTTCCCTAGTCTTTTGCTTGTCTTTCACCATGACATTTTTGAAGAGCCCAGGTTATAAAATATTCCTCAGAAATCTTTATTTGTCTAGTAGTTTTCTCCTGATTAGATCCAGGTTAAACATTTCGGCAGGAATACTGCATAGGATAATGATTTTTTTCTCAGTCTCCATCAGGTTAGGGGGCACAAGTTATCAATTAATCTCATTACTAGCAATATTTAATTTGATCGTTTGATTAAGGTGGTAGCAGCCAAATTTCTCCATTGTAAAACTACTTTCCTCTCTTTGTAATTAATGAGTAATCTATGGGATGATAGTCTGAGACCATGTGAATACCCTGTTTCCCAATAGTCTTTCATACTGTGGTTTAGTATCCATTGATGATTCTTGCCAGTAAAATTGTCACTTTTATTTCTTTTGTTATTTCTAGTTCGTTAGTTGGTATTCTTCTGTAAAGAAGAGCTTTTCTTTCTCCCTTCCTCATTCCTTTTTAAAAAATAATTATTTAAGTATTAATATAGATTCATAGATTATTTTTTTATTCAGTGGGTTACCAAACATTCCTGTCTTTCATTTTGATGCTCAGATTTTCCCAGATTTGACCAGTGGGTTTAGTTCTGTTTTAATGTTTTAATTTTATTTATTTATTTTTTTTCCCCAAATCCCCAGTAGATAGTTGTATGTCATAGTTGCACATCCTTCTAGTTGCTGTATGTGGGACGTGGCCTCAGCATGGCCGGAGAAGCGGTGCGTTGGTGTGCGCCCAGGATCCGAACCCCGGCTGCCAGCAGCAGAGCGCGCACACTTAACCGCTAAGCCACGGGGCGGGCCCTGTTTTAATAGATTAACATTTTCACCACTGCCCGTAGTGTGTTTTCATGCTTTGTTGAGTTTAATGCTGGGATACAGACTATCATTTCAGCATAAGATAAAAAAAAATTTTTCTAGATAGTAGTTCCCAAGGTTAAAAATGAAGAAAAAGTTTGATGTTGTGGTTAAACCAAATTTAGTTTTGTGTAAACTTTGTATAGAAATCATTTGTAGTATAAATTTTTCTGGGTATGTATGTGGGAGGGGTGAGGTTGGGTGGGAATGGAGAAAGTCTAATTCTTGTGCATAGTAAAACTTCATCAGATTGAGCCTTGGTGAAGTGAAATTTGTGATTATTCAGACATGATAAACATGATATTTGAGTAAATAATTAAAATTCCTCCATGCATCTGATAGAAATCTAGTCTAGTATCAATATATTCTTTAAAAAATGGTTCAAAAAATGAAGTATTATTTCTGTTGACCTTCAGCATTGGGGTATAGCAATTTTTATATATCTAATTTCATATATTAAGACTTTACCTCATTACTAATCTATTTATTTGCTTGTCTATGGCTGATTAGATATTTCCTCTAGTCTGGAGCTATGGTTCTCAAAGTGTGGTCCCAGGACCAGCAGCATCAGCATCACCTGGGAATTTATTAGAAATACAACTTCAGGCTCCACTCCAGACTGAATCAGAAAGTCTGGTGTGGGTCCCAATAATCTGTGTTTTAACAGGCCCTCTGGGTGATTCAAATGTGTATTCAAGTTTGAGCGTTGGTCTAGAGCACTATTCTTGGGAGGCCTAGATTCAGTCCAATTATGGGTCAATTATTTTTGTCCTGGACCTTGTTCATTCATTCAAGGAATATTTATTGGACATCTATTAATTAATTAATTAATTTTTTCCCCCAAAGCCCCAGTAGATAGTTGTATGTCATAGCTGCACATCCTTCTAGTTGCTGTATGTGGGACGTGGCCTCAGCATGGCCAGACAAGTGGTGCGTCGGTGCGCGCCTGGGATCCGAACCCGGGCTGCCAGCAGCGGAGCACGCGGAGCACGCGCACTTAACCGCTAAGCCACGGGGCCGGCCCCTGGACATCTATTTACCAGGCATTCTTCATGTATTAGGTTACATTTGTAACACCAGCTACATGTTTTGCATATAGAATCTATTGATAACAAAAAGGACTAGGTAAGAATATGACTGATCTTATACAGCCCCATCATTGCCACTGGAAAAACAATCTGAAGTATAAGCTTTCTTATTTTGTTTTTCATATTGTATCACATTTTTAGGACTATGTGGCAATTATGATAAATTACCGTATTTTATCAATTCCAAGATGCACATTTTTTTCACATTAAAAAACTTTTATTTTGGAAATCTTTTTCACATTTTAACAACTCTGCTATCAAGATGCACCTCACAATCATTGTTGGCCAGGTAGCAATCATGGCGTTGTCTGTGTCTGCAAATGAATATTAAAACTTGTAGAAGGGAGCCAGCCCTGATTGCCTAGTGGTTATAAAGTTCAGCACGCTCTGCTTTGGCGGCTTGAGTTTGGTTTCCGGGTGCAGAACCACACCACTCGTCTTGTCAGTAGCCATGCTGTGGTAGCAGCTCACATAGAAGAACTAGAATATACAACTATGTACTGGGGCTTTGGGGAGGGGAAAAAAAAAGAGAGGAAGATTGGCAACAGATGTTAGCTCAGGGCGAATCTTTCTCAGCAAAAAAAAAAGGAAAACAAACTTATAGAATGGATGTCAGTGACTTAGAAGAAAATCATGAAGACAGTAGAACAGAGGACTCAAGAAATGTCACATCACCTGTGCTCTTGGTGGCACAAAGGACAATATATTATGGCAAAATGTGGATATCAGTAATGGTGTTGAAATGTTATAAAAGAGTTGAACACTTAATGTGAAGTTTTAAGAATTTCTTATCCTGTTTATCCCAACTATTTAGCTTATACAAAGAATGATATATAATAAAACTGTATGTCTAAATAAATCTAAAAGAGCTCTTTTAATACTTTTTTTTAAAAACTCTATTTTAAAACTTTTTAAAGAGAAATTTTCAAACACACCTACAGAGAATAGTATAATGAACTCCTATGTACCAACTACTGGACGCAACTATTGACTGCCATTTTCATTTACTCTAATCCCCAATTTTTCATTCAGTAAATTTACAATTAAAATTCTAAGTGATAGGGCCGGCCCCGTGGCTTAGCGGTTAAGTGTGCGTGCTCCGCCACTGGTGGCCCGGGTTTGGATCCCGGGC